TTACCACTAACCCAACCAGCCAACACCACTAACATTACCACTAACCCAACTACCCCACACCACTAACCAAACCAACCCACACCACTAACATTACCACTAACCCAACCACCCCACACCACTAACATTACCACTAACCCAACCAACCCACACCACTAACATTACCACTAACCCAACCAACCCACACCACTAACATTAGCACTAACCCAACCAACCCACACCACTAACATTACCACTAACCCCACCACCCCACACCACTAACATTACCACTAACCCAACCAGCCAACACCACTAACATTACCACTAACCCAACCAGCCAACACCACTAACATTACCACTAACCCAACCAGTCCACACCACTAACCCAACCAGCCAACACGACTAACCCAACCAGCCAACACCACTAACCCAATCACCCCACACCATTAACATTACCACTAACCCAACCACCCCACTCCACTAACCCAACCACCCCGCACCACTAACATTACCACTAACCCAACCAGTCCACACCACTAACCCAACCAGCCAACACCACTAACCCAACCAGCCAACACCACTAACCCAATCACCCCACACCATTAACATTACCACTAACCCAACCACCCCACTCCACTAACCCAACCAACCCACACCACTAACCCAACCAGCCAACACCACTAACATTACCACTAACCCAACCACCCAACACCACTAACCCAACCACCCCACACCACTAACCCAACCAGCCCACACCACTAACATTACCACTAACCCAACCACCACACACCACTAACATTACCACTAACCCAATCACCACACACCACTAACATTACCACTAACCCAACCACCCCACACCACTAACATTACCACTAACCCAACCAGCCAACACCACTAACCCAACCAGCCCACACCACTAACCCAACCACCCCACACCACTAACCCAACCAGCCCACACCACTAACCCAACCAGCCCACACCACTAACGTTACCACTAACCCAACCACCCCACACTACTAACATTACCACTAACCCAACCAACCCACACCACTAACCCAACCAGCCAACACCACTAACCCAACCAACCCACACCACTAACATTACCACTAACCCAACCAGCCCACACCACTAACCCAACCAGCCCACACCACTAACATTACCACGAACCCAACCAGCCCACACCACTAACCCAACCAGCCCACACCACTAACCCAACCACCCCACACTACTAACATTACCACTAACCCAACCAGCCCACACCACTAACCCAACCACCCCACACCACTAACATTACCACTAACCCAACCACCACACACCACTAAAATTACCACTAACCCAATCACCACACACCACTAACATTACCACTAACCCAACCACCCCACACCACTAACATTACCACTAACCCAACCAGCCAACACCACTAACCCAACCAGCCCACACCACTAACCCAACCACCCCACACCACTAACCCAACCAGCCCACACCACTAACCCAACCAGCCCACACCACTAACCCAACCAGCCCACACCACTAACCCAACCAACCCACACCACTAACATTACTACTAACCCAACCAGCCCACACCACTAACCCAACCACCCCACACTACTAACATTACCACTAACCCAACCAACCCACACCACTAACATTACCACTAACCCAACCACCCCACACTACTAACATTACAACTAACCCAACCAGCCCACACCACTAACCCAACCAGCCCACACCACTAACATTACCACTAAACCAACCAGCCCACACCACTAACATTACCACTAACCCAACCACCCCACACCACTAACCCAACCAGCCCACACCACTAACCCAACTAGCCCACACCACTAACATTACCACTAAACCAACCAGCCCACACCACTAACATTACCACTAAACCAACCACCCCACACCACTAACCCAACCAACCCACACCACTAACCCAACCAAACCACACCACTAACCCAACCAACCCACACCACTAACCCAACCAACCCACACCACTAACCCAACCAAACCACACCACTAACCCAACCAACCCACACCACTAACCCAACCAGCCCACACCACTAACATTACCACTAACCCAACCAGCCAACACCACTAACCCAACCAGCCCACACCACTAACCCAACCAACCCACACCACTAACATTACCACTAACCCAACCAGCCAACACCACTAACCCAACCAACCCACACCACTAACCCAACCAACCCACACCACTAACATTACCACTAACCCAACCAGCCCACACCACTAACCCAACCAGCCCACACCACCAACCCAACCAACCCACACCACTAACCCAACCAGCCCACACCACAAACATTACCACTAACCCAACCACCCCACACCACTAACCCAACTAGCCCACACCACTAACCCAACCAACCCACACCACTAACATTACCACTAACCCAACCAACCCACACCACTAACATTACCACTAACCCAACCAGCCCACACCACTAACATTACCACTAACCCAACCAGCCCACACCACTAACATTACCACTAACCCAACCAGCCCACACCACTAACCCAACCAGCCAACACCACTAACCCAACCAGCCAACACCACTAACATTACCACTAACCCAACCAGCCCACACCACTAACATTACCACTAACCCAACCAGCCCACACCACTAACCCAACCAGCCAACACCACTAACCCAACCAGCCAACACCACTAACATTACCACTAACCCAACCAACCCACACCACTAACATTACCACTAACCCAACCAGCCAACACCACTAACCCAACCAACCCACACCACTAACATTACCACTAACCCAACCAGCCCACACCACTAACCCAACCAACCCACACCACTAACCCAACCAACCCACACCACTAACCCAACCAGCCCACACCACTAACATTACCACTAACCCAACCAGCCAACACCACTAACCCAACCAGCCAACACCACTAACCCAACCAGCCCACACCACTAACCCAACCAGCCCACACCACTAACATTACCACTAACCCAACCAGCCAACACCACTAACCCAACCAGCCCACACCACTAACCCAACCAGCCCACACCACTAACCCAACCAACCCACACCACTAACATTACCACTAACCCAACCAGCCCACACCACTAACCCAACCAGCCCACACCACTAACATTACCACTAACCCAACCAGCCCACACCACTAACCCAACCAACCCACACCACTAACCCAACCAGCCCACACCACTAACCCAACCAGCCAACACCACTAACCCAACCAGCCCACACCACTAACATTACCACTAACCCAACCAGCCAACACCACTAACATTACCACTAACCCAACCAGCCCACACCACTAACCCAACCAACCCACACCACTAACATTACCACTAACCCAACCAGCCAACACCACTAACATTACCACTAACCCAACCAGCCAACACCACTAACATTACCACTAACCCAACCAGCCCACACCACTAACCCAACCAACCCACACCACTAACATTACCACTAACCCAACCAGCCAACACCACTAACCCAACCAACCCACACCACTAACCCAACCAACCCACACCACTAACCCAACCATCCCACACCACTAACCCAACCAGCCAACACCACTAACCCAACCAGCCCACACCACTAACATTACCACTAACCCAACCAGCCAACACCACTAACATTACCACTAACCCAACCAGCCCACACCACTAACCCAACCAACCCACACCACTAACCCAACCAGCCCACACCACTAACATTACCACTAACCCAACCAGCCCACACCACTAACCCAACCAGCCCACACCACTAACATTACCACTAACCCAACCAGCCAACACCACTAACATTACCACTAACCCAACCAGCCAACACCACTAACATTACCACTAACCCAACCAGCCCACACCACTAACCCAACCAACCCACACCACTAACATTACCACTAACCCAACCAGCCAACACCACTAACCCAACCAACCCACACCACTAACCCAACCAACCCACACCACTAACATTACCACTAACCCAACCAGCCAACACCACTAACATTACCACTAACCCAACCAACCCACACCACTAACCCAACCAACCCACACCAATAACCCAACCACCCCACACCACTAACCCAACCAGCCCACACCACTAACATAACCAGCCGACACCATTAACATTACCACTAAACCAACCAGCCAACACCACTAACATTACCACTAACCCAACCAGCCCACACCACTAACCCAACCAACCCACACCACTAACATTACCACTAACCCAACCAGCCAACACCACTAACCCAACCAGCCCACACCACTAACCCAACCACCCCACACCACTAACCCAACCAGCCCACACCACTAACCCAACCAGCCCACACCACTAACGTTACCACTAACCCAACCACCCCACACCACTAACATTACCACTAACCCAACCAACCCACACCACTAACCCAACCACCCCACACCACTAACCCAACCAGCCAACACCACTAACCCAACCAGCCCACACCACTAACCCAACCAGCCCACACCACTAACCCAACCAGCCAACACCACTAACATTACCACTAACCCAACCACCCCACACCACTAACATTACCACTAACCCAACCAGCCCACACCACTAACATTACCACTAAACCAACCAACCCACACCACTAACCCAACCAACCCACACCACTAACCCAACCAGCCCACACCACTAACCCAACCAGCCCACACCACTAACATTACCACTAACCCAACCAGCCAACACCACTAACATTACCACTAACCCAACCAGCCAACACCACTAACATTACCACTAACCCAACCAGCCCACACCACTAACCCAACCAACCCACACCACTAACCCAACCAACCCACACCACTAACCCAACCAGCCCACACCACTAACCCAACCAACCCACACCACTAACCCAACCACCCCACACCACTAACCCAACCACCCCACACCACTAACCCAACCAACCCACACCACTAACCCAACCACCCCACACCACTAACCCAACCAACCCACACCACTAACATTACCACTAAACCAACCAGCCCACACCACTAACCTAACCAGATCACACCATTAACCCAACCAGCCAACACCACTAGCCTAGCCAACCCACACCACTAACATTACCACTAATCCCCCCACCACTATGATGATGCGTGGACCACGAAGCATTTCTCTTGCCCAGAAGGTAGACAGGTGCGCCACTGGACCCCGGACAAGTGGGGGCCGTGTACGTATACTTGGTGTCACTATTAGGCAACTGCTCACACCGAATCAGCTGACCAATCGAAACACGTTTAGCCAATCCGTGCGGATGCGACACGATGACCACTACCCTTTCTTCAGCATCGGTGGAGTAATTCTTTGAAACGGTGTCACACAGCTCCTTATAACGATCCAGTGTGAACTTCATCACATCTAGAAGCCTCATGTCATGGGTGATGCACTCCATAACGCACATATCCGAATCCAGCTCACGCTTGAAGACGTCACAGCCTTGCAGAACCCTGGGATTACACCTGTCATCGTTGTAGCCCAACTGGCACTTTGTACGCTCGGCTTCACTTTTATCAAACACAACATGCAGTGCGGTCAGCACTACGATTCTCCCCCATTCTACAGTCTCCAGTCCGTCCTCTTTACACAGGCTACAAGGGCAGGGAATACCCTCGTTGTCATTTCTATACACGTTCCAAACTCGTCCACTCCCTACACGAAGTACATCCTTTCCTGCGTGTTTAGCGAATGGGTACGGTTCATTTTTGTGGTATTTAGGCCGGTCAGTGCTAGTGTAGGCGACTTGAAGACTCACGGTCAGGCAGGCCAGATTTTTTATCAGTTTGAGAATGTCCTCATCCCTGAACCTATCTGGCAGGTTGGCAAGGCCAAAGTTGGTAAACGGTATGAAATCTTTGTGGCCAGGATATTTTGTGCATTCCTGCCAGTTGTTCTCAAGTTTGCTGGACCCTTCGTAGCAAATATCCACGTCATATTGTTCTGTTGCAAAATAATAATAATTATAATTATAATAATTATAATTATAATAATAATTATAATAATTTAATGACATTAAGATGGTATCGCAAAGCTAACCTTATTAATAATATACTATAGGAAAAGCAACTTTACTTATTTGATTATTAAGACAATTAGAAAAAAACGGAATCGAATTTTGTGTAGGCATATCTTATTAGTTATTTAATAATAATAAGCCTACACTTTGTTATAAATCAATTATATAAATTGTATCTACCCTGTTCAAATTCATTAATTTTAGTCTGCAATTCCAACGGCGGGATATCTAAAGAGGGAAGTAAAACAATAAATAGGCCTATGCAATTTAGTTTAAAAACTTACGCATGCACGCACGCACAAACACATACACACACACACATACATACATACATACACACACACATATATATATATATATATATATATATATATATATATATATATATATATATATATATATATATATATGTATATATATATATATATATATATATATATATATATATATATATATATATATATATATATATACATGAACTATCGTAAGAAAGTAAATGCTCTCCTAATGGGTGCTGACCACACTATCTCTTCAAATTCCGATGTCACAGAATCAGGTGAACTCTACTTCACTTGCCCCATGGACCTTCAGGTTCAAAAACAGGACGTTACTAAGTGTAAGTCTAGTTTTGTCAACCTCTTCTTCTAGCGATCATTCTAAACGGCAGATATTTAATCAAAGTAATCAAAGAGTGTTACATAACTCTAATATACACCACAATGATATCCCCTATAAAACAATATTTTAAAAAAATCGTATACCACTACAGGCTCCTTCCATAATCCCTAGATTCTGTCAATAAGTTATGTTTTTTATTTAGTCAAGATGAAGTATGCAGCTAGCTGACTGACTAAAGAAGCTAGCAGGGGCCTACTAATTACCCCTTGTTGAAGTATGCAGCTAGCTGACTGACTAAAGAAGCTAGTAGGAGCCTACTAATTACCCCTTGTTGAAGCGAAGGGTTCGTTAAGCGTTTCTCGCGAAAGCGGATAGACGGGGGCGGTAGAAAGGAGGAAGAAAAGGGACGGGGTATGAATCATGCGTAACAATAATGACATACATGCGATGTAAGGGGTTGGTATTTTAAACAGGTCATGAATGTGAATTTTGATGAAAGGGGAAGTAATAATAAAGATAGGAGAAATAAACCGGGCGTGATCTCCGTAAGCTTTCTCGAATATTCTTATACGAGAAAAATGGCCCGTTGAGGAAGGATACAACGGGCGCTAGGTTGATAGTGCTGTCTCTTTTCACTAAACTAAAACCAAAACCAAAATCACCACCTTAATTAAATTTAACCAGAAACGAAAAATGACATTGAAAACGGATTTTTATCCAGAATCGTCATTTTTATCGCATTTAAGCTTGATCTACAAGTAGTTATCACGCATTTATACTAAATATTCTAAATATATTTAATATAGTCGTAACCATACCTCTAAACCATGCACCTAATCTCAATCATGACAAAAGTCGCATTTAAAGTTTCTTTCAGGCAACTACTTGGGAGGAAGGGGCTCCGTACAGCCCCCCCCCCTCCCACACACACACACCAAAGCACCTCTACCGTGCCATTCAACGACATATAATTATATACTTTTTCCAGTCCTTTCCCTCACAGAAAATTCCACCCCGACCCCGAAAATTTCAAGCAAATTTCCGGGGTGAAAAAAGTCTTAAAGAAACACTGGTAATATTTGTTGATCATACAAACTAAATGTAGAGCCTGGGAGGGGCTTCGCCACTACCGGAAGAGATGCATGAAAGAAACTGTGCACGCAAAACACTTTTTAGATAATTTCAAGTTCCCCCACCCCTCTCCGGGGAGGAAAAGTCTGAAAGAAACACTGGTCGTATTTGTAGATCATACAAACTGAAGGTAGAGCCTACTTCTATAATTTAAACTCGTTACATCGTCTATTATTATAGACGAGAAAAGTGGCCCGTTGAGGAAGGATACAACGGGCGCTAGGTTGATAGTGCTGTCTCTTTTCTCTAAACTAAAACCAAAACCAAAATCACCACCTTAATTCAATTTAACCGGAAACGAAAAATGACATTGAAAACGTATTTTTATCCAGAAACGGTACTTTAATCGGATTTAAGCTTGATCTCCGCGTAGTTACTGCACATTGATACTAAATATAGTTGTGGCCATACTCATAAACCTTGCAACTAATCTTAATCATGACAAAAGTCGCAATTAGAGTTTCTTTTAGGCGACTCTACTTGCCCCCACACACACACCTCAAAGCACATCTACCGTCCTATTTAACAAAATAGAATTTATATAGAAAATATACTTTATCAGTGTCCGCCCCCTGCTAGAAAATTTAGTCCACACGCACCCCCAAAAATGTCAAGTACCCCACCCCCCACCCCCCTCTGGGGAGGAAAAAGTCTGAAAGAAACACTGATCGTATTTGTTGCTCATACAGACTAAAGGTAGAGCCTGCTTCTATAATTTAGACCTCGTTTCTTTCTTTTGTCCGATAAACCTCATTCTCGCAGTGTTTCTTTCAGATATTTTTCTGGGGGTGGGGCACTTGAATTTTTGCAGAGGTGAATAAAATTAAAAGGGTCGGGGGAGCCCGACACTGGTAAAAATATAATATATTTTCTATTAAAATTATATTTCGTTTTTAGTTTTTAGGGGAAGGGATTAGACGTTGTACCGGAAGGGGGGGGGGGGGGGTAATTGGGCTTCGCCCCTACCCGAAGAGATGCATGAAAGAAACTCTGCAAGCAAACCACTTTTTAGATTATACACATGAATTAGGAGGTTATTAGATTATAGAGTATCGATGACGACATTTCTTTTGATTTGGGGGGGGGGGGGGGGGGGGCGGCTTAGACGTTCTTACTTGGGGGTGGGTCTTCGCCCCTACCCGAACAATTGTATAAAAGAAACTACTATTAAGACAAAATTGGCTTTTTAATTCAATGTTTACTAGAGAATCAATTACGTCATATTATTGTGTGCACTCCCCCGGCTTTAGATTATTTCCTATTACATGCTCCTTGTGACGTCATGTTTCGTTTTCATTTTACTATGAAAGTTTTTACTCTGCTTGCGTTTTCGCTACAGCGTTCTTGACAGATAGATAGATAGACAGATAGATACACAGACAGACAGCGAAACTATTACTATAGATAACACTACGGGGGATGGCACCTCGCGATATAGACCATATTTTTAATCCATTTTCAATTACTTAAACTTTTAAAAATAGAATAGAATCTCGTAGAAAAAGAATTGCACACTAAGTGAACGCCAAAAAAAAATGTTTTTTTAGAAATCGGAAATAGCCGATATTACTACTTCTTGTCAACGGAAGTTACTCAAAATTTGATAGAAGGCAGAGAATTAGATTTTTTACTTACATGTGAAATTTCATTTATCTATCTGCAATAGTACTCGAGTTATTGGTTTTTGAATAATTGAAAGTAGAATAAGTTCCACTTCCGGTTATCCGAAATCTCGAATTTTTTTTGCACGATTACAATACTTTCTCTATACCTCGTTTACGAGAAAGTAAAAAAAGGGAAGAAAGTTAAGAAAATGCGAAAGTTTCAATGAAAAAGGGATTTATCGATATTTTAGATCGCCATCTAATAATAAATAGAGTCTTTACATTAATTACAAGAATATATTTAATATGATTTTTTTCCTAATTAACTTGTTGTACAGTCTTTTCATAAAGCCTATCACTTGCGTGTGTGTGTGTGTGTGTGTGTGTGTGTGTGAGTGCATGAATGACATGTGCCTTAATGGAATCTTTATTAATGAGTGAACTTTGTATGCTTTATGTTTGTATAATATATGTATAATGTATGTATTATGTATGTATAATGTATGTATTATGCAAGTAATATGTATGTATTGTGAATGCACACTGTATGTAATAAAGTTACCGTCATTAGCCGTAGTTTCATCAACTGGACCTTCCGCCATGGTTCGCCTCTGTTTAACCTAAATTAACAAGAGGTTTAGCGTTAATGACTTCAACTAACTTGAATAAACATGAAGTTTTAAAACAATCATACCAACCAAGTTTGTTGACAAATGTAAAGAAATATTGTGAGACAACACAATTAGATGTAAAGCGTTGTCTATTATACAACGTCATACATCTAAGTATAGGGATGGTTCGGACTTTGACGATAAGTGTAGTCTATTATACAACGTCATACATCTACGGGTAGGGATGGTTCGGACTTTGACTATAAGGGTAGTCTATTATACAACGTCATACATCTACGGGTAGGGATGGTTCGGACTTTGATGGTTAGTGTAGTCTATTCTACAACGTCATCTAAGGGTAGGGGTGGTTCGGACTTTGACGATTAGTGTAGTCTATTATACAACGTCATCTAAGGGTAGGGGTGGTTCGGACTTTGACGATTAGTGTAGTCTATTATACAACGTCATAAATCTAAAGGTAAGGATGGTTCGGACTTTGACGATTAGTGTAGTCTATCATACAACGTCATAAATCTAAAGGTAAGGATGGTTCGGACTTTGACGATTAGTGTAGTCTATCATACAACGTCATAAATCTAAGGGTAGGGATGGTTCGGACTTTGACGATTAGTGTAGTCTATTATACAACGTCATAAATCTAAGGGTAGGAATGGTTCGGACTTTGACGATTAGTGTAGTCTATTATACAACGTCATAAATCTAAGGGTTGGGATGGTTCGGACTTTGACGATTAGTGTAGTCTATCATACAACGTCATAAATCTAAAGGTAAGGATGGTTCGGACTTTGACGATTAGTGTAGTCTATCATACAACGTCATAAATCTAAAGGTAAGGATGGTTCGGACTTTGACGATTAGTGTAGTCTATCATACAACGTCATAAATCTAAAGGTAAGGATGGTTCGGACTTTGACGATTAGTGTAGTCTATTATACAACGTCATAAATCTAAGGGTTGGGATGGTTCGGACTTTGACGATTAGTGTAGTCTATCATACAACGTCATAAATCTAAAGGTAAGGATGGTTCGGACTTTGACGATTAGTGTAGTCTATCATACAACGTCATAAATCTAAAGGTAAGGATGGTTCGGACTTTGACGATTAGTGTAGTCTATTATACAACGTCATAAATCTAAGGGTTGGGATGGTTCGGACTTTGACGATTAGTGTAGTCTATTATACAACGTCATAAATCTAAGGGTAGGGACGGTTCGGACTTTGACGATTAGTTCCCAGGAAGAACGGGAGGAAAGGATTGTCAAAATGAAATACAACCATCTCTCAGTTATCGTGTTTATTATGAAATATACCGCGAAGTAGTGCTGCCATCTCATTTCGAACATACGTACATTTGTTGCGTATGTATAATATCATTCAGTGTATATGAAACCGTATAAGTGCAAGTGTTATCATTAGAACATTAAAGAATAGTTTCAAACATGGATATAAATTAATAATAGTATAAATAACATACAGAAAATAATGTTTACATACATAAATACGATACGTATGTGCAGGTTAATAATCTGCGAGTAGCGAGGCTGCGAAAAATGAAACGCGAAGTAGCGAGAGATGACTGTGTGGAGATATCTCGCATTGTAAAGAACTTTTAAAAAAAATTAAATAAAAATTGCTCAATATTCTCATTGTTTCATTGTTACACAGTCCGTCTGATACTTAAGACAAAACTTTTTTAAAGATGTGTTATAATCTTTTTTTTTATTAGAGGGAAATGGGGAGGGGAGGGGGGAGTATATATGTGAAAAAAAAATCTTGACTTTACTTAGATCTACCCAATATGTAAAAGAACGCTACGATTCAGTTATTACCAGAGTTTCTTCCAAGCATCTCTTCGGGATAAGCCACCCCCCCCCCGAAAAAAGTCTACCGTCCCCCCGACCGAAATGAAATTTATATAGAAAATATATACTTTTAACAGTGCCCCCCCCCCCCCCACGAATAAAGTCTACCGTCTCCACCCGCCCGAAAATTTCAAGTGCCCCCCCCCCCCTCCCCCGGAGAAAAAAAGTCTGGAAGAAACACCGGTTATTACTAAAGAAGTAAAAATAATTTATGTATTGTAAAGAAATCTCTACATACCTTTAATTACAATAACACAGCAATGCTTATCACTGCGTCTTCCAGTTCATATTTGTATACGTGTCCGGGTTTCGGGGAACTATTTAGCCCTCAGCCAGTGTACGCCAGCGATCTCAGGAGGTCGTCTAACCCAGCTACTTGGGCGACCTAGTTCAGACAAGTAGCGAGTCGCATAGAGGCGAGCTTCCACACACTCGTCCTACGTGTTGCTACAACACACCACAACAACAAACGATTTGGTCTGGTCGTTTCGCGAAAAATTTTACGGTTGAAGGATACAAATAGTTCTTTGGTCTAGATACTGTTATTAAAAAAAATTATATTCTATTAAAAATTATATGTTGTGTACAAGTCGTGAACTTAAGTGATACTCTTTCTCTCGTCAGGGCATGAGTATCCTCCCCTCCCCCTCTCATGTCCCTAGGGTATTCGTTGCCTCCTCTCTCCCTCTCATCACCCCCTAGGGTACGAGTAACCTCCTATCTTCATGTCCCTAGGGTACGAGCAGCCTTCTCTCTTCCTCTAGGGTACGAGTAGTCTACTCTCTATATCTCCCTAGGGTATATGAAGTCTTCCACTCCTGTCCCCTAGGGTATTTATTGCCTCCACCCCCTCCCAGAGGCGTAGCGACCCCTCCCGGCAACCGGGGACAAACTTTCGATTTGCACCCCCCCCCCCGCTCAAGATTTCGATTTGCAACTCCCCCCCCCCCCCATCAAGCTTTCAATTTATTTTTCTAACCCATTTTCAGCGCCCGGGGACATATGCCCCCCCCCCCCCCCCCCGCCTCGCTACGCCTCTGGTTTATTGTCGTGACAAGAACACAATAAACAATGACGTCACATGACACATGTTTAAACCATGGAAAGAAAAGAAAACTAATGGCGTCATGAACTATTTCTTTCAAATTTGGTTTAGATCTACTTATCAAGACGTACCCTATGAAATGTATACAAATTTCTCGGCCTAAACTTATAAAATTTACTTTATTTATTTAGATTCTAGATCTAAATCTACGAAATAACTAGACGTAAGCCAGCCGTAGATTCTAGAATAGATTTAGACTCTAGCTCTATCTAGATCTAGAATTTATGCCAATAATGACTTTCTATACTAAACTATTTTAAACCTTAATTATTTGATATAAATCTTGTTTGTTTAGCTATGGGATTGGCTAATTTGGGATAACATTTCATTAGAAATAATTCTTATAGGGCCAGAGGCGTAGCGGACACTTCCCGGCGCCCGGGGACAAACTTTCAATTTGGCGCCCCCCTCGAGAGCAAACTTTCGATTTGCACCTCCCCTCAAACTATTTGTAATGCAAAAAATGAAGCTAAAATGACATTTTGATTTGTCCTTACAACTTATTTTGGTGCCCCCTAAGGTCGGCGCCCGGGGACATTTGTACCCCTCTGCCCCCCCCCCCCCCCCATCGTTACGCCTCTGCCCCCTCCACCTTTACTGATTCTATCCTGTTTTCCAGGTTATTCTAACCTCCACTCTACCTCAGTGGGTTCAAATCCGACATCTGGGGCCTTGCTTGTTAGCATATTCCTTATACTTATAGTCGTATTTCTCGTATTGTCCGTCTAGTGAAACTAAAAAAAAACAACCTTTTAATTATTTGATTACAAAGCTAGTTGATATACCTCTTTCCATATTGTAGAGGTGCAGCAGTAAAGATACGACATTGGTGCTAATCATCAAGAGTTGGTGTTTCATACATGTGCTGTTAGTACCACTCTGGTCCCAACATGCTGTATGCATGTCTTGCCGTGCAGCTTGTACAATTAATGTTTGCCCAGCAGTAGCGTAGCGAAGGGGGGCGGGGCGGGGGGACATATGTCCCCGGGCGCCGACCTTTAGGGGCGCCAAAATGGGTTGGAAAAATAATTTGAAAGGTTGAGGGGCTGCAAATCGAAAGTTTGAGGGGGGGGGGGTGCAAATGGAAATTTCGAGAGGGGGTTGGAAATCGAAAGTTTGAGAGGGGGTGCAAATCGAAATCTTGGGGGGGGGGTGGAAATCGAAAAGTTTGTCCCCGGGCGCCGGGAAGGGTCGCTACGCCTCTGTTGCCCAGTCCCATCTATGTTTGACACAACACCCCAACAATAGGTAAAACACGTAACTTCTGTTACCTCCTTGCTTATACAAACACACAATTAATAATTTCTGGAATAATTTAACTGTATTTAAATAAATCAAGATCAAAAGATAAAATTTTTATTTCTATATAAACAATATAATTTATATTGGTACAAAAAATACTACCAAATATATATGAATATATATATATATATATATATATATATATATATATATATATATATATATATATATATATATATATATATATATATATATATATCCTCAATTTAAGTGCTTTATGTTTAGGTGCAAAACAATTATTATAATCACAATGGTTGCCTGCCAGAGCTTTCAAAGAGCTTTGAACAATAAATAAATGTAATAATAATTATCAACATATAAATCTGCACAACTTCTAACAAAAATGTTGTCAAAATGTGTATCAAATCTAGCTCAGATAATACTATTAAATACTTAGATAGTTCTACAAATATGCATTTAAAAAACGTAAAGGAAAACAAAACTGTCCCATAAAGACGAATCGAATAGAGAATAATAATATACCATTGATTTTTCATCAGTGATGTAAATATCAACAACCATTTACATCCACGCCCTTCCACTAATGCCTCCACCATTTACATCCACGCTCTTCCACTAATGCCTCCACCATTTACATCCACGCTCTTCCAATAATGCCTCCACCATTTACATCCATGCCATTCAAATGATGCCTCCACCATTTACATCCACCGATGCCTCCACCATTTACATCCACAACCTTCAAATGATGCCTCCACCATTTACATCCATGCCCTCCCACTGATACTACCCCCAGTTATTGATGCACTATGCAGGTGTGTGGTCCACCATCCATACTTCTTCTCCAGCACATACACAGGTGCGCCACTGCACCCTGGGCAGGTGGGGGCGTCATAGGTGTATCTGGTATCTTCGTTCTCCAGTTTATCTTTTGTCACAACCTTCCCAATGGAGACATGCTTGACACTCCCATGAGGATGGGAAACTACAATAGCCAAGTTTTTATTCGGTCGATGCTTAAATTTTTCGTAAACTCGAGAACACAATGACGTGTAGCTTTCTAGCGTGTCTTTTAAACTCTTTAACAAACCTATCTCATGTGTGGCGCATTCAAATAAACACATATCATATTCGAGGGCTGTTTTCTTAATGCCGATACCTTCAAATATCTTCGGACGACAGCTTTCCTTGTCGTACGCCCAAAAACAAATTGTATTCTTAGCTTCAACTTCATCAAACACAACATGCTTTGCTGTAAGAATCGACACTATACCCCATGTTTTGGTAATGGTTTGATCTTTTTCACATGTCTTACACCGGCAATGTTCTTCCCCATCCTCTGGGTAAACACTGATGGAATGTATTTTGCCTGTCCCCAGTCTAGAAACAATTTGAGAGGGGCTGTACCTGGGGTAGGGTATGCCGTTATGGCTGTCTGGTCTGGCCTCACTAGCGCAGAACGTTTGTATTTTAACTGTCAGCCTTGCCAACAAAGCGATGGCCCTGACAATGTCAGCATCCTTGAAGGGTTCAGGCAGGTGTTCCAGGCTAAAGCTGGTGACGGATATAAAATCTGTATGTTGAGAGTGCTTGGTGCAATGGTTCCAGCTCTCCAACAAGTTCTCACCGTGTTCAAAGCTGACTTCAACTTCATAGATTTCTGTACACATTTTAAAAATAATTTATTACTTAAAGAAAATCAATTACTCAATCATGATTAAAGTTTACTTTTTATATTATTAATTAATACTCCTTATATTGTATTAAAAAAATCTACTGTTTTTCATACTTATAATAACATGAGAGTTAACTGGTATAAAATAGTTATGATTTCCACTATGTTCAGGTTACTTTTTTATATGTTGAATGTTTTTCCAACTCTCGCATATTAAAAAAATTGTTTACAAAAAAAGATGAAAAAAAAATGTGAAAAAAAATCGACTTATTTACTGAAGTATCACTTCACCGAAAGCAGAAAACATATTTTTATTTCAGTCCCAAAATCTCTCGGATACCTTTCGTCTTAAAATGATAATTGAAAAGCAGAATTTGTCTAAACATTTAAGATTGAAATAAAATAATCGGCTATAATTAAGAACATTAGAAATAAAATGTATCAATACCATTCTCTTTAAATGCATTTTAAAACCAAATGCTGTTATTATGTTTTTAACATTTAGAGACTAGTATTCATGTTTTTTAAAGCATATTTACGGAAAATAGAAAATTAAAATAGAAAATATATGGAGTACTTTAATCATTTCGACTCCCAGGAATTTTCAAGCGCCTGCTCAGAACTTTAAAATGCCCCCCATCCCCCCCCCCCCCCGGGAGCAAAATATCTACTTGTAAGAAAATGAACATTAAAATAGGCTTTTTCTGTTTCTTTTGTCCAACTACCCACCTTGTTCTTTTCTCACTCTTTCAATCACGCTGTCCCTTTCTTCGTCAGACATTTTTTCTCAAGATTTTTTTTCCATGTATCTTAAAACGAAATATAAATTAAAAACAGGATAATTTACATCGAACACTATATCAAATTAAGTGGAAAGTAAAATATACTAAAAAATCAATTACTTGTATACAACTATGAAGCTATAAAATTCTAAATTAAGTATTAAGAAGTTTCAATTAAGTTACAGTGAATTATTGATTTTATTTTAAGTACACCGAAACTAGTATAATTTATGTATCTCAATTTACATAGTGTGTGTCTAACAAGAACTTTTTAACACTAAATGTAAATGAATAAAATACATTTTTCTTTAGCTAAACGTAAGGTCAAAATGGAGGATTAACAGATTAAAACGGAAATTCCCTATATTATTTAGCTGAATAAAACTAGAGAGTCAAATAAAGTAAACTTTCTTTTGGTAATACTAATGCGTTACTATGTCACTCAAATTTTTGCTATTTTATTATCTACCATCTTGTTAACCCAGTTAAAAAAAAAAGTACAATTTAGTTTCATACTCTGACATAATAAAAAAAAAACTCAATTTAATAAGGAAAAATGTATAAAAAAAACATTTAATGTCAAAGTTTTCGTGCCTATACTAATAGACAAAGACATGCATACTCTTGCGTACACATAAAAAAAAGCTCATACAGATACGTATTCATAGTACAATATTATATTATTAAAAAATTAAAATTTATTAAAACTCTAGGATGTTTTTACTACTTTAATAAATTTGTGGTTGTGTGTTATCGTTTTTGCTAATAATTTTGTTTCTGTACCTTTAGGGGGTGATAATGCCCCTTTAACAGCACCATCCCCAACCCACCCACCTATCTTCTCCCCCACACCTAATGCTATAGTGCGTGCACTGTGTGATGGAGGCCTTGAAGTAGCTAAGTGTGAGTATATTGTTTGACGTGGTCGTGCATGTTCTCACAATTTATTTGCAGCATCACTAGGCATGGAACTTGTGTTTGATCCACTATATCTATATTTAGTAATAAACTCAATAAGCATGAAAATTGTATTTGATCCACTATATCTATATTTAGTAACAACCTCAATAAGCATGAAAATTCTATAGTAACAAAATCAATAAAGGGCCGTCCATAAATGACGTCACACTCCTAGGGGGGGGGGTCCGTAAATTTGTGACGGTGTGTGATGAAGGGGAGGGGGTTTCAGATGGTGTGACATCACACTTTTGCATTATAAAAAGCAATGTTAGAAAACGAATTTAAGACGTTATTTCGCGTTTTAGAAAACGTTTAATAAATTCTTATAGGAATTGATTAAAATACTCAATTTTGACAGAGTTCAGACAAGATTTTAGAAAAATATCGATACTTAAAAAAAATTCAACTGCAATTTCCAGGGGTGGGGGGGGGGTTGTAGGGTGAAGTGTGACGTCATTTTAGGGGAGGGGGTCTGGCTTTTTGTGACGATGTGTGACGGAGGGGAGGGAGGAGGTAAAAATCGTCCAAAAAAGCATTTATAGATGACCCCTAAGCATGAAACATGTGTTTGAGTCACTATATCTATATGTAGTGACATAATCCATTGGCATGAAAATTGTATTTGATCCAAAGCACACGCAACTTGTTTATATCTATCGGTTCTTTTCCGGTAGGTGTCGGTTATGTGTGCTGTGTCCATTTAAACGAATCGATTTAAAGAACAAACGATTCAAGACAATAATGAAGTTTCATGGCGAATGATCAAAGGTGTAGTAATGTACACACTCACACATACACACGCGCGCATTAACACCCATATATATATATATATATATATATATATATATATATATATATATATATATATATATATATATATATATATATATATATATATATATATATATATATATATATATATATATATATATATATATATATATATATTTATATATATATATATATATATATATATATATATATATATATATATATATATATATATATATATATATATATATATATATATATATATATATATATATATATATATATATATATATATATATATATCCGTATATTGATGTATTCCTTGTGGTAGACCAGTTAGCTTATGAGTAAACCAATTGTTATTGCTGAAGAAAACATCTGTTACATATTAGTTCAGGATTCTGTATGACTCAATAAGTTCTATTGTCAATATAAAACTGATGATAAGGTCTGTTAAGCCCCCCAACGTTATCCCTCCTCAATAAATTCACACACAACTAACGTAATAAAAACTTCGTGATTGAAAATATTGTGTGTATTGATTCTCCTACAAGTTTCAGTGACAGGTTGTGTGTTCGAGTTAGATGGACGCTGTGTTTTGGTTCAATTAATGGTTGAGTTACTTATAGTTTACTAAAATTTCGGTGGTTAGTTGATTGTCGTAAATAAAATAAAATTATTTTTTTATGCTGAATACAGTTTTTAATTTCTTATTACACAGATGAAATTTTTCAATATATATTCATATTGAAATATCGCATTTTAAGTTTATATAAGTAGCTTACAACTATCTTCCACCACAGATGGATACAATACAGAGAGCTGCTCCAGGGATACTTTTAGTGTTAACCATAATGTCGGTGTCAGGTGCATTCAACTGCCCTGAGGTAAGGTTTTAACGCTTACATGCAGTCTTCTTGTGTTGAGTTGAATAACTTTTATACTTCTATGTCAAATATCGATCGCTTACACCAAATATTTCTTCATAAGTGTAAATGCTTTACGTAACTGCCCTAATTTATTTTAATTACAGGTGTGCAGGTGTAAGGCATATGAAATTCGCTGCGAAATTGATAAATTTGATTCGAACATTTTCCGAAACATGCCCGAAGAGATCGTTTTATATATAAAGGTAGAGAGAATGTGGTACCACTTTGTTAATGTGAATTTTAAAAATTAGAAAACATCCTTGTTCTTAAAATTTTAACTTTGACTGTCTCGAAATGAACACCTATCTACAAGTTTTTACATGTTATATTACAAACTCTGAAAACTGACTAACAATCACAAATAATATACCATAATTAATATCTCCATCCTTTTCTTATTTTAAAAATTGTTTAAAGAAAAGGTACTAAATAAAAGTCAACTATTCTTGTAAAATGATATAAAGTTTAGTCCTAAAGTTTTAAACAGTACACAATAAACATTTCAACACCTTCACGAAATTTAGAAAACAAGGCCAACAAAGTAAGACAACTGCCATCCTGTCATAGCCTCACCTCCTCCTTAATGATATCCTAACTGTAGACAAACTATCTAATTATACTACAGAGTGGTTCTCAAACTGTGTTCCCCGACAACAGCCTCCCACGAGTCAGGGACCTAGAAATCACCGGCGATGGGTCCCTAGTCTACGACCACGCTTGGAATCTATCTGCAGATCTAATGCAGACTTTATTACTCAACGGCGTACGTCTGAAAAATGCTTCGGCCTCCTTCCAAATTTTGAACGTTCTGGAGAGTATTACAATTGAAAACACAACACTACATGGGATTGAAGAAAATTCTTTTTGTGGGATAAAAAACACATTGGGTTCATTGGCTTTAGACAACTTTAAAGTTAACGACTGGCCTATTCGTCTTGACACGTTGACTGCGCTGACCGTCTTATTTATTTCCCGAACTGACTTATCAACTTTTCCAGACATTACATTCCCAACCAGTCTAAAATACTTAACTATACAAAAATCTCGACTTACGATTATACCCAAGACGATTTCTACTTTAAATAAACTTATAGACTTACGCCTTGATAATAACGAAATCTCACAGATCGAGAATTTACCGAAGAAATTAACAAATGCGTATTTATCCGGTAACAAAATTACAAAACTACGAAACATCCCCGCGACAGTTACTAAGCTGGTCATCTCGCACAACAACATCTCAGAGATCAAAGAACGGAGTTTCGCACCCAACTCCCAACTCACCAGTTTGATCGTGTGTTACAACCACCACACCAACATGACCATCACCACCACGGCCTTCACCAACACCCCGCGACTCACCTACATAGAACTTCTTTCATCCAGCTTCAACGCGCAGATATCCACGTTTTCTGACTTAAAATTTCTAACTAGCTTGGTGCTAGGGTTGAGTAGGAAAGAATATTGTGATCAATTTAACAATAAAAAAGGCGCCTATATTTGTATAGCGGAATAATTATTGATATATATTTTAAGGGTTGAATAGAAAATAATCTTGTGATCAATATTTTGCTTTACTATACCTCACTTATGCTTGTGTGGTAAATAAAAATTATATGATATGAACTGCTAGGATGACTTTTTAATAATGTGTTAAGCTTTGTAGAGAAACATTATTTTTTATAGTAGTGTAATTAGGTGCAGATTCGGTAGGATGTAGGGAGGTGGGGGTGTGTAGGGGGGGGACTCCTATTGATGAACAGTGTTTCTTCCAGACTCTCCGGGGGGGGGGGCACTTGAAATTATAGGGGGGGGTCAACATTTTTCGGGGGGGGGGGGGGGCGGACACTAGTAAAAGTGTATGTTTATTATATAAAATCCATCTCGTTCGGGGACTGCCCCCTTAACGTAACTAGTTTATTTTGTTGCGCTGATCTGCCGGTTAGGAATGATGGTAGACTTGCAATCACTAAAATATCCCGTTTAGTTTTGTCATTTAGTTATATCGCCGACAGGGTTGAAACTTTGTTTAAAGCTAGGGTAACGATAGTTTCAAAGCAAATATGTTAAGCAAGTTCCGATGATGATTGTGGGCCAAAAAAATTCCCGGAATTCCTTCCTGGATTTCCCGGAAAAGCCAAAAAACCTCGAAAAAATTCAGTTTTTGGCCCATATCTCGGCAACCAGACCACTTAGCGACTTGAAACATTTACCAATCGATTCCTGCCATAATTTAGCACAATATTGCCGAAGAAAGTTTTCAAAAATATCCTTTCGTTCGGTCACAATTTTTCTTTAAAATTACATAAACACCTACAATCCGATCGTTCTCCTAGCTTAAACGCACCCCAGCATTATACGTCTTGTGTTTTGTCCCCGTGTGTGCTTTACGCTACGACAGATCTATTTTTAGATAACATAAGGAAATTGCGCTTAAATTGTCACTAGAGTTTTTATTATTTTATTATTATTGCAAATCTATATTAGCCCTCACTAGCCGAAGTTAACGTACATCAGAACAATTGACAAAATTTTTTACGAATGAGGAGCCCATTGTCCCCACTCATTGAACAGGTCGACGATTTAGTGTTCTACAGAAATATAATAATGTTTTACATCATTGTATATTAAGTGCAAACATACTGCACAGTTGAGAGCTGAATAATTTGACATTAGATTTCACATA